TATGCTCCTTTTCTCCAATCGAATAAAATGCATTAATTGACTAATTAAAAACGGCCATTCCATTCCCTTTGTTTATCAATAAAAAATCTATGAAACAAGACTATGCTGGCAAGTCTAAAAGCTAAACAGGAAAAAATTCAAAGAAAAATATCCAGTCCACAAAAAATACTATTTCAAAGCTATTTTAAATAAAAAATAGTTGAATTGGGTAATTTTAAATGAAAGTAAAATAGCGCCTTTTCAGGTGATTGTTCCAAGTTAATTACAAAGAAAAATTAAGTGGATTTCATCAGACAAATCAACGAAAACCGGCCATCCACCCACTAAAGTGAAGTATAAAAATGGAAAGGTGAATTCTTACTCATGCACAATGGACTCGCTTCTAATAGAGATAGGCAGGCGTTCATTTGGAGCATCAAGTACTTTAATCGCTCCGGTACGGACTTGAGTGGACAGATTCAATCAAGCACACCTGAAATCAGATAAAATAGTGCCTTGGGATTACCCTATAAATGCAAATCAGAAATAACCCTAATATAGGAAAACGTGTAATTACATTAAAATTAACTTTTAGAAAAAAACACTGAAATCAGGTGAGACCAAGAAAAAGTGGAGCGATAAAGGGACTGTGAAAAACCTCTCAAATCATTTAACAGGCAATGATTTAGAAATAAATGCCTCTGTCAAGAAATTGGCAAATTAGAACATTATTTCAGAAATGTTTATGCAAACAAATCCAGACTTATCTAAAAGAAGATAAATGAAGGAACAAATGAAGAACTTCTTCGTGGATTAAAAGAGATAGACAAATCGTAGTGATGAATAAAATAGAGGCCATTCAAGGGAAATTAAGGCATTTCAATAAATCGTAAGCATGAATGATAAAAAGGAAACAAGCCTTTACTCTAGCAATAGAAAATTAGGAGATTTTTAATTACGATCTGATACTAAATTTCCGGATACTACGTAATAGAAGGATGTTAATAAACTAGTCATCTGATGACAAATGTTTATTTCATTATTTGACTATCAATAAATAAGGGAGAGAATCGATAGTACCTATAGTGAATCATAGGTAAAGTCCATTGTACCATGCTAGAACTTGCTCTATTCATCATATAGCTTATAAATAGCTAGTTAGCAAACTTGATTAAATAATAATGTAAATTTGATTTGATGGGCTCCTAAATTTCAGAAAAATTGAGTAAATACATTGGGCTTCCTTGATTGAATATAAGGGCTATCACTTGGATAAAATTACAACTAGCAACTCGCAATAAATAGGGAATCAAGGTGATACAAGAGACACTAGCAATAAAAAACATAAATCTTTATGAAACTTTATGATCGAATTTACCAGGCGTAATCACAAAATAAAAAAATAACAACGATTAAAATTATCAGATATAAATCATTGTACCTCATTACAATAAAGTGCAAATTTTTACTTAATACGTATAAATGTGTTCACATTCTTTAATGTTCACCATCGAAACAATAGAGTTGTGTTTTCTTGAAAGACAACTGAAATTGTCAAGAAACTTGAAGAAAAAATACATTTTAATAGTGATCTCAAGGAAGAGCGATTGAAAGAATCTTTTGACGAATGAGTGAGTGGTGATAGAATCGAAGCCGTCCTGAAGTATGAAACAATTTTACAGTCAAATTTCAAGTCAAAGAAAAGCCATCAATTAAAAAATTAAACAATTTGGACACATTCAAACACGAGATAATGGTCAAATTCGATTTCAAAGTATCATATTACCCGTCAAGCTAACAGAACTCTCTCAATCACGAGAAGTACAAAAAATAAAATAGAAGAGGATAGATTAGCCACCTGCAAAGGCGCAACACTTAACTGTCAAATGAGTCCAAAAATCAAAGCATGGACATTTTGAGCCAAATATAGAAGGGATAAAAGGACGAAATGTGAGGAAGTGACTTAAAATGAAAGTATTAGGCAGTCACTCGTACTGGTACAAAAGAAATACAAACTTTTATGAAGAACACTTCTAGTGACAAGTGCAAATTAATAAAGGTTTACGTCTTTTATGCTTTTCGTAATGAATGATAAACACTACCAAATGTTCGGGGCAGCTTATTCAAATACACACCAGGTACTAGCAGAAGATTAGTTAACCCAAGCCTCAATTGAAATAAAAAGCTAACGCTTTCGATAAAAATAAGATAAACCTATTTAACCATTACGTTAAACTAGAAAGGGTTTTTTAGGATTTATTTCGCAAGTTTACAAGTATAACCTCGACAGTTATTGTAAGAATTTCCTAATCAGTCGATTTTGAAAACATAAACAGAAGAATGATGTTTATGAAAAAGCGGACACACACACAATCGAATCAGATAGAAACGATTCAGGTTACGGAGTTCATTATCGAACAACCTGTTTAAATAATATATACATAAACTGAATGTATGCTATCTTCTTTACCCTTACTAAGAATAAATTGCCTGAAACGTACATAATGACCCAACAGAATTTGAAGGGCAAATTTCATAACATTTTGAGAACAATATTCAAAAAATTATTTTTTTCAGATAGAAAAGCCCCTGATATCAGTAAAGTAAAATACAAGCTAACTAGGACCAAAAGAATGAGAAATTGAGGTATAGTAGCAACTTACATACTAATTAAAAATCTAATGGTTCGGAGTTAAGTATAAGAATTTCGGACAACGCTAGAAAGTAACTATGCAAGCGATGCGAGATTCCCAATCCGAGAGCATCCAAATAGAACTAAGAAAATGAAAGGAAGATTATTAAAGTTAATACTTCCCAGAATCAGGCTAGATAATGCACTATATACACCCTTTTGATAATTCATGCTAGGTTTTAAATATGTGAATTTTGCCATGCATTAATCAACAAAAGATATATAACCTATATGAAAAACAGATAAATTGAAAAAAAACTCAAAAAAATCTGAAAAAGAAACCCAATGGAATCAGTAACTCCTTAATCAAAGCAAATTAGAACAAACACTTCACCAATGATACCTTGATAAGCAGCTAAAATTGATAACAGTTGCACATAACCGTATTAAAAGGAAAATAAGTGCTTTCGACACGTGACAGCAGACAGAAATACGGCCACGGAAAATCAAAGAAGATTAACTAAGTACGAAAATCAAGCCAAAACGTTGCACAAATACTAAAAGATAAATTTGCTTCGCACAATGTTAAAGAAAATAAAAAACAAAACAAGGTGTGCGATCAAAAATCTGCACAACTATCGATTGAACTTCACTAGTTTCAAAATAATTGAAATACTATATAAAATCAATAGACCAGTGCGTAAAACATAGTATAAGTAGTGATGAAAAAATTAGGAGTTCATAAAAAATTTTGAAGATCAATGCATAAAAAACTGCCATCAAATAAGTAAAAAATGGTAAAATAACTGACTTATGAACACGATTATAAAAAGGAAGTTATAAGCTGAAAAATAAATAGAAAAAGTCTTTTTCAAAGTAGAGGTAATACACAGGATTTAAGGAAAGGTATGGATAAAAACGTTTTTCTAACAATGGAATAAACCTTAATAAGTGAAAAGAAAACTCTGTAAATTACAAAGATAAATATTATTTAACGCACCATACATAAGCTAAAAAAGCTTGCACGAAAATTCCGCAACACCCATGGATAATGATATTCGTGCGTTGAACAAACGTATCCCATTTAAAAGTTTTTCAACTCTTGATTAAAAATAAACATTTTCTTAAATGCTAATGAATTAAATACAACTTTTTTCGTTATTATTTTGATGTCTTTACTTATTGGAATAAACTGTTTCCTCTATTTTTATTCGAATGGAAATTTGGCTAATAAACATTATTCTTGTAAATCATAATTATATATTATTCAAGATATATCATGTTTACTATACGCATCAAAATTAGTAATTATTGACGCTTGTTTTTTGAAGAATCTATATAAAAAAATCACCATAAAGAAGATATTTAGGTAATATTTATTACTAATATTTATTAACTAATATTAATGTTTTCGGTCAAAAAATATTCCATAACACGCTTGATCGACAACTCAAAAATGTACTGCGAGTAGATAATTCGAATCAGGTTTTAGATCTATGAAAAGATTTTCGATCTAGACTCCATTAAATCTTGTTAAGCCAATTGAATAGGGTTTAGAAATTTGTCTTCAAATTTCTCTTATTTAAAACCTTGATGATAAAATCAATTAATGTTATTGTTTCTAATTAGTTGTTGCCACTTTTTCCAACTTGATATTATCCTCAAACACATGGAGTAAACATCATTTGCTTTTCATATGTCGGCATTGCAATTGTCATGTAAATGCGATTCTCTACATCGAAGAGGTAGACAATTTAATTATCGAATTTTTCTTCAAAACATATCAGTCTATGAAAAATAATTGTTTTAATTTGATCCAGAAGTCGAGATTTTCAAAATCAACGTGACATAGTTCTATTCTTAAAAATGGTGCGAGAGATTCAAATCGGAATTCATTTTTGAAAGCCTGTTACTACTAAGCATACGCTTATTTTTCTCTTTCTTTGTCAAAGTGAGTACGAAAGTCAGGTTTCTACAGCTTGCTCGATTACTCTTCACAAGAATATAATTTATTAGAAACACTCTTGAATAATACTAATGCTATGATGTCGAAGACTGACTTTATCACTCTAAATATCAAGATAATATTTAAGTAAACCACATAAAAACCTTATTTAACATAATCAGTTTAAAATAGTACTCCTATCGGTTTTTCGACTTTGAACATTTTTCCTATATCAGTGAACTTGGAAATTTATTAATGTGTTAATTATAAAACAAAAATTTATAAATTACGCCAATATTTTCGAAATAATAAATCTTTTTAGCAAACGTTTATTGGTATAACATTGAAAAAATTTTTTTCTTTAATATTGGAGTCTGTGTAATTTGATTGTTTCAATTGTTTGGCGCCACGCTACTCAGTTTGATTGAGTTGTCGAAAGCGAAAATGTGTTTTAAGGAGTATGTGTTGGCCAAATACCAGTTACTGCGTTTTGAAGCGAATCAGGAAATCAAACTAATGCTTATTGAAGGTATGGCTGAAATATTTGGTACAGAGCTGTGTCAAAGCTTTGAATATTCATTTCGGGCTGGACACAGAGGTTCGGTTACTACTTTTCATGGCTGCAAAATTACTATAACTGGCTCGGATTTTGATGCATTTGTACTGGAAGCAATTGAAGACAATGACCTTATTCATGTTTATGCCAATATACATGCTAGTTTTCACAAGTTTCGAACTGAAGCCGTCTCTAATCAGACCAAGGGTCCTCGTGTATTAGTGTGTGGACCTGCTAATAGTGGAAAGGGTACTTTGTGCAAAGTTCTTGCTAATTATGCTGCTAGACGTAATTCAACTCCAATCCTTATAGATTTAAATCCTAACAGTAATCAGATATGTGTTCCATCTACTCTTGCTGCAATGCACGTTAAAAAGCCCTATGATTTATCTGTAGGATGGGATTTGCACGAAGATCCTATCGCCTTTCCTTTTTGTCATTTGGATCCATCCGACAATTTTGATCTTTATAAACAGCAGTTGGAACATCTGGCTGAATTGGTTGATGTTCGTTGTGAAAATGATGCAATGACTTTTGCTAGTGGATGTATCATACGAATGAGTGACTTCTCTCGGACCTCCCAAAAGAAGCAGGCCTGTCTGTCGCAAATTGAGACGGTTGTGGACTGCTTTGGTGTGGATTATGTTATTGTAATAGAGGATGGATTTCTTCAATCATATCTCAAGGAGAGACTGTCCAAAGAAATAACAGTTATTAGGATTCCGAAGTCATCAGCCACTCCTAGCTTTACACCTGATCAGTTGAACCACCAAAGAGATTTACGAATTAGTGCATACTTTCATGGAGAAAGTCTTTCCGAGAAACTACAGCCTCGAAGAGAGAAGATCAATACGCAGAATGTAAGCTTATTGCCTTCATGTTTTATGTTGATATGTTTGTAGTTTTTAGCGTGCAAGCCTTTTGCGTTATGCACTTTAATGGTTTGTTTTGTTATATAATTTTTTTAAATATGCTACATTTCGTGTTTGGTAGGCTTAGCTATTTATGAAGCTGATAATGAATAAAAATGTAATTCACCTATTTAGCCTTTAGTCGAATTTATCTCTATTGCGTCGTTGGAATAAGTTTTGTTTCTTTAGCTTCATTCTTAATTAGTTGAATTATTAGAATTAGCATTTGTAATTCCATGACTTGCTGACCGTGTCCTTGGACTGTGACTATACCTTGCAGTTGTGTTTAAATGCAGGTGCTTTTTACACTATTCTATTAAGAATTTGATGAACCCACTCCAAACCCATGTATTTTGGCAATTTGGAAAGGAAGAATGGGTTCCTTCATTTGATTTCCTATTTGGAATTCAATAATCTGCTGCCCTTTTTATAGGAGGGCCAATTCAAAGCCTTTATAATATGCAACCCATAGAAACTGAGTGATCAAACTTTTCAAATGTTCAGTATGAATGCAGCAATCTGGTTCAATCCTGCGGTTGAAGGTTCTCATTATGAAGAATCTTAAGTTATGCTTATAGTTCATCAGTTCACGAGATCTTTATTAGAAGCTCGAATATCGCACGATACCTTCTGAGTTATTGTATTCTGTATTTTGGGCGAATCTTTCCCTTTACTGAGTGGAGCTTAGTGTGGCAATTCCACGAACTCCTGTTTATACGCAAATTGATCGTTGCACTTCTCTATGGCCTTCACTGTTACTTTTACTTAATTGTAACACCTATCTTGAGATAATTCCTCTTCTAATTTTTGTGTTTTTTGTTTTCAACGTTCTTTCAGGTGCAGATTTACCAAGTGGGAACCGAAGCCCTCCCCGAGTGGTTATTACCTCAAGGCGAACAAACTGACGTGGCAGAAACCTGGAAACAAGTTATAAAACTCCCCTGTCACACGGACACATTGAAGAATCGTCTTTTGGCTGCTTCACAAGCGAGCTGTCCGGAGGACATTCCCACTTCTCCAGTTTATGGATTTTTGGCTGTCGATGATGTAGAAGGTCACTTTATCAAAGTCCTAGCGCCAACTGAAGGTCTACCTGATACACAGTTTTATGTAGCCTCCATTGGCTTCATTGATCCTGTCGGAGATTTGTGAATAGAACTCTTTCCCATGTAAAGAAAGACTATATTTTATATTATTAAATCTTGTCTTTGTATCAGCGACTAGTACCTGTTAGCCAACTTTTATTTTCGTAAATCGAACATATTCTCTCATCTGTACTCGTTACTTCATATGGGCTTCTTCATATTGAATGGTGCCAAGTTATAAGACTTTTATGTGCAGTATCAAATTTAACGCAAAAATAGGTATACTGTTTTAGGAGTCATAAACATTACTTTAAGGTGAATTTAATTTTTAAAAAAAGACGAAATTTGGCGAAGTTAAAGTGCCATAAGTTGTCATAAGTGTATTGTTAGCATATCTGAGCTGTCAGCCAAATGGTTGAAAGAAGGCGCTTTTAAGATAGAGAGGATGAAATTTGATTAAACCACTCATACGATTTCGACTCTCTCGGAGCTGGTTTGATTGAGCTCCTTCCATCTCTAAAACCTCACTTATCATTTCTCAAAGAACAGCTGCTTTTTAAATGACTTTTTCGGGACATTTCTTCGACCATCCACATTTAACATGAACTAAATGCCATAATATTTACCTTAAGTCATCTTCTTGTTAATCATATTTTGACCTAAGGTATCAATAATTCCAATAAGAATTCACCTTAAGGGGGTATTATGGTGTAGAGGCATGAATTTTAGGTCATTTTTGAAGTGCTGTAAAAGAAGGAAGCAATATTTTTGAAAAGGGAGAAGTACTGAAGTTGTATTAACAAGCACCATATAAACAACAAGCTAACAGGCATTGAATATCCCCGACATGTTCACACTAGAATATCGGAATTAAAAATATGTCACTGAGCCACAATCTCATACTGGAATATAAAAAATTAATCTGAATTGCAGAATCTCCAATTACCATATTGACTTTCGGATGCTTCTCCATTCCATATTCTCTGAAATTTGACAGTTCCCAATGTTGAGATGTTAAAAGGTGTGAGCTATTCGCTATAGGACTGAACTACTCAATACTTCAATGCCATATAGTCATGAAAAGGCATCAACCGCCAACAAAGCAAGGCAAAGTCAGAGGAATGTCACTGACTTTAATAAGGGTACTTCATTTAAGAAACAAAAGGTAATAGGAAAATTGTCTGCTACGAGTTAGTATAGTTTACATCACCATTAAGTTCCAACTAAATAGAATAGAGTGGATCTTAGGCGCAATGAATTACAAACAAATAGAAGAATATCTTCCACACCCTCCACCAAAAAAGTCATGAGCACGGTACCTAGTACCTTGACCGGGGAAGGGAAATTCCTCCAAATAAAGTTCTCATTAATGCTACTATTGGGGGGGGGGGAATTTAAAGTTGCTGAAAATTACGTCTGAAATTTTTATCGGCTTTTAGGCGGAATGCCCAAAATAAGACAAATGTTAAAAGCCAAAATGCTCTAATTTCCTTCTTAAAGGAGGAAAGAAATCGAGGTCATCTTCGCCTATTAACTTTTGTACAGGAATTTATTCAACGTCCTCGAAACAGAAATGGCAAACTTCCTTGTCCTCAACCGGTCATACTCACATTTTAAGAACATCTGCTTTAGATCACATTGAAGTAAGGCAATAACGCCTTCGACATTAAATAATACATTATTGCACACAAAGCATTTTAATTACCTTAATTGACTTAATTGAGATGACTCATATCTAAGATTTGAGTGAATTTGACCGAATATTCCAATTTATTGCTAAATGTTACTGCCCCCCCCCCCTCCCCTATCTACGCTCTCGAAGAAATGTTCAATTGATTTTCGCCCAAGTCAATTGCTGTGAAACCTCACCTTAATGGGCCTGAGAAGTTCGATTTAACCATAAAAGACTGATATTTTCTCTTTTCACCTATTTCCTTGCCCCCAATTTGTTTGCAATTTTAATCAACTATATAACTTTTCTAAAGTCTGGAACTACTGAGCTGTTAGTACATGACCTCAATAAGTAAAGTGGCAACGTGTTGTACTTCAATCCGAATAGTTAGATGTCTAAATAATTAAAATAATCAGCCGCAGGAACTTAACAAATCGTCGCTTAAGATCTTGGTTCCGAGCACTGGCTAGTCATTTGTGCGACTGCGTGTGCACTATATGGAGTTAATGCAAAATCTTGGGCACTCTTTGAATTGAAGGAAGGAATGACGGGGTCACTGGTTTAGAGGCACACGATTTGCGCTTGCAAAAAGACTCTCAACATTAAGATGCTATTTCTCGAAACTCTAGTGCTCAAATCTCCAACCGCCAAATGCAGCGTAGTTGGTAGTCCCAATCTACTCTAATTTAGAAGACTAGAGATTTGTACACTATGTTCTATCAAACTAGTACGGAAAGGAATGGCGTTTCGCAATCTACTTTTTACAATTTCACAGATATTTCATAAACAGGACGCAACTTTTGGGACGAATCCTCAAGCGAATCGACGTGGGTTATTGGCATTAAGGGGGTATTCCAGTCTAGAGACAAGAAATTTAGGTCATTTTTGAAGTGCTGTAAAAAAGCAAGCAATACGTTTATCATCTATTTTTTATACATTATTTATTCACATTAGAAGCATACACAAAAATTTAAAAAATTATAAAAATATAAAATTTGGTTAGTTATCAGCTGATGGAGGAGGAGCGTCTCAAAGATATGGTGCTTGACCATACCCACGATTTCAACTCTCCTAGCAATCTGAAATCAAAAAATAAAAACAGATTATCAATCTACAATAATGTCGTTATATCTTGAACTACGGAAACATTATAGAAATATTTTTTTACAAAATGGCGACTGTCTGAAGAAAAACCACTTTTGTACCACTTTTTTAAACATTCTTCGATTTTTTAAAAATAGTAAAAAGAAAAATTTGGGATGGCCGTAGTTCCGGACATAGACAAGTCCCTAAAGAAGACCCTCTTAAAATTTCAAGTAAATCGGTTAGGTAGAACCTGAGAAATCGTGGGTATCTGACTCACAAAAATCAGTTCTAAGAGGAACGCGTTTAAAGTTTCAAGTAAAATATTTTGCAGTCTAAGTCTTAAAATTATATTTTTAGCTTACATTTATTCAATCTGCCATTCCCGCTGCGTACACCGAACCTTTCTCGACTTCAAAAAAACTAGTTTCGGCGTTTCTGTTGTCCATTCGAGCAGTTCCGGCCTCCTTTGATGCGCTGAATGCTCGTATCTCGGAGCGGTCAATCCGGACGTTGTCTCGTCTGATAGCAAATGCATGCGCTTCTGCACCAAATTTCACTCCCATAATCGTCATCCTCTTCAATATCGGTATAAAACCTTCATTAAAAATACACACAGCAATAAATGTTGCAATTTCAATGATCTGAAACCCGGAATGGATATGCTGTGGAGCGAAAGTCAATACCAGGGAGTTTAAAGACTCGTCATTATTTTGAGTTTCTGAACACAAACATCAAGAGTCAATAACTCTTCTGATGATAAACTTCGAAGGATCTAATCTCGTTGTTGTATGCAGTACGCGAAACAAACGAAGAAATTGCTGAAAAGACAGTGAAAAACTCCAAAACACAGTAGCCGTAATTATTATCTATAATTACTTCTTCATAATTGGATTTCCTCAATTTTGCTGCTGATGCACTCATAAAGCTCGTGTTTTCTTGTTCCGTAAATCAATTGCCGTGAAATATATATATAAATATATATAAATAGATAGATATAACGGAACAAAAGGGCTTACTAAGAAATATAGATTCAGGTAGTCGGAAAACCCTTTATGTCTTCTGTTCGATTAGTTGTAGCCCAACGGATTTGGATGCCTGCTCAGCAAAATATTTATTTCTCCAAAAATAATTTCTTGACTAGTTAAATTGCGAAAATATGCAATAAAAAAATCGAAAATAGGTTTTTTCTAGACCAGAAACCCCCTTAATAGGCGTTAGTTGGGCTCTATTTAGTGATCTGATGGACAATTAAGAAGCACTTGTGAGAAGTTGATTCAATTACTAAAAAATTAAGCAATATTACATTAAGATCACCAAGCGGTCAATCGTTGATGACAGTGGTAATTAGAGGTTTCTGGTGAGAATATATCTGCGATTCTCTGTCATGCCATTATTTCAACGTCGGAAAAATCCCAGTTTTGTTACGACTTGAATCATAAACTTTGTTTAGTCTATTTACCATTTATATAAAGTTGAAGGTAATTTATTTTTGTTTTGGAATGAAACTTCAACAGTTAGTTTCGTCTTAAACTTTTAAATGATTTTTATGCCACTTGTCCGAGACGAACTGGTCCAATCTTTTCTCCGTAGACGTTGATACCATTTGAACTTGTCATTTGTTCATTTACTATTCGGTGTTTTCGGCCATATTCTATATGTTGGCTAAAAGTGAGTTTACCCATGTTCAGGTCATACACGATTGCGTTTTCTTTTGGGACCTTGGTAAGAAAGGTCAAAATCATAATAAGACAACCGATCAACTAGTACTGAAGAACTTGGTGGGCATAAGAAATTTAAGACTTTTAAGCGTAAATAGTGGATTAGGTAAATATTGCAACGCTTGAGTGCATTAGTGCAATGAGTTGATTAAAAGGAACATTGGATTTACAGGCATTTGAATCTGATTGGACTATTTCCTCGATTCCTCCATGCGGCGATTTCATAATTAACCAATGAGAGTAAAGATTTGTCTGAGCACTGATTGGCTGATAGTATACTGAAAATTGGTTGGTTTGTTAGAAGTACTCAGTGGCATCTTAACTTCAGAGCACCCATTCTTACGACATTAGTTGAAAATGACTGATTTAAACGGTAAGGTTCTCTCCATATATTTGTTTTATTTTCATTTTATTCCCTTTCCTTGTTACATTTTGTTTTATAAAAAGCATTTATCACTGTTCTCCCTTCTCTTACGAGTCTAGTATTAATAAGGTTATTTTGAAAGAGAAACATACAGTCCCAAGGCCTTTAAAATCATGTATTACTTTTACAGTACTCATCCTACCTTTTTCCACCTTCGTCTTTGATGCACTCTTCTGTTCCCCCCCCCCTCCACTTCTTGAATTTTTTATTCCTTCCCCTCTGTGAAGACTGAAGTCAACTAAAGGGCTGGATAACAATCAAAACGCCTGCCATTTGATATAATAATAATTAACAATCAAAACGCCTGCCATTTGATATAATAATAATATTGATTTTGAAAGCGATTGAATTTGGTCAGCAGACAGTCAATTAAATGTTAAAGGATATTGTGAATACAAGCGAAGCCCTAAAATAGTGGAATATGCTTGGTTTTTTGGTGTCCTTTCTCTCTCCCCCTCCATTCGCCTCCTGTGTCAATGAGCAGGTTCCTGAGTGCACTGTTCAGCACTCATTGGCAGGCTGTATGATCAGTTTAGTTGGTCTTGACACTTAGGTTAACTTTTTTATTTTGCAACTTGAGGAAGCAGAATGTTGCCAGGCAATATGCATGATCATACGACAGCAGAACTGAGATATAAATTTAATGATTCGATCTAATTTGTGCTCTTCACCTAACCTAAATCGGGCAGTCTAATTTGAGCAACAGATTAGGTTCTGACCTCAGACTACATCTATTATGTTTCAGCCATTAATATTTAACTAGGGCAATAAATCTGGGTCATTATAAACGGATTTCTTTAAGTGGAATAATGTACAAGGTCATGAGGTCAAATCAATGCAAAACGATTCTTCCTTTATAGTATGGGCAAGCAAGGTCACATGAAAGATTGCAAATAATTAATTGCATAAATTTTACATTCAACGAACAAAAAGTGCTTTTAATAGTATAACTTTTATTATCCAACAAGCTTAAATCACAAGATTGATTCCAAGGTAATCTTACCCTTGTGGTTACGTTGATAATGCTTCGAGGTGATAATTCGACCTGTCAACTTCTTTCCTGGCACGTCTCATTTCAAACATTTATGATAGGTTACACTCGGGTAGATTTAAGTATTCAATGGAAAATTTCAGCAGAGGACACCATTGCCACAACATGCTTGTCTTTTCTTGAAGCAGGGATACCGTGTTGGAAAATGCAGGCAAGAAGCGAACAAATTAGCAGACACATGCTTGCGATAAGATGGCCCATTACAGTTCTAGAACTAGAGTGACTTAAGTGGGTAAACTTACTAGAGTTGCACTATTACTTTCTTAAATGCCACAGCCTTCATGATGACTCTTCGACGAGTACTTTTGCTTAAAGTAGCACTAATTCAAGTTGGTCCAAGGTAGGATTTGAAATATGCCTGTGAACTCAGCCAGGCTTGAACGTTGACAGAAAACACCAACCCTCCCCAAAGCTTGAAGAGCTGGTATTAGAAGGCCCACAACTTATCTTGACAACCTCCCTATGACTCACATTTGTAATTCTGTGTTTTAGGCGATAAAACGGGTGAAATATCAAACGGTGAAATCGGCCAATATCAATTTTCTGTTCCACCGTCAACAAACGATAAGGAACCTGGTAAGTCTTTGTGCACCTTGAGTTGAATGGAGTATGGCAAAGTGCCTTATGGGGCACAAGTAGGTATTTGTAAGTTAGCCTCATTCAATGCGTTGATGGGGGAGTGGGGGGTGGGGAGGGAGTGAGGGAGAGAGAGAGACAGTGAGAGTGGTGATAGTTTGTCATTGCCCTCCTTTTTCATATGGAATCTTGTTAGAAGGCATTGAAATTGAGGGCCATGTCTGCAAATGCGATAGTAGTCCACATTTTAATCCCCTAGAAGCGTGTTTTTTTGAAATGTTTGCGTCAAAAGAAGAAGTATGCTCAAATGTGCATTTATGTGAAGGGTCGATTTCAACTTTTATCCAATCATCATTATCATTATTAGAAGGAGGAGTGATTTTTTGAGGATTAGATGGGGCAACGAATTAAATCACGGCATATGATATAAAGAAATACATGCATACATACAGACCGCAGACTGAATCGATCCACAGTTAGCGCACAGTTTTTTTAAAAATTCCACGATTTTGTAAATTTCCCGTGCTTACATTCCTTTTTCCTGACGTCTCTACTAAATCAGGGGAACATTAATAATTCCGATTCTGTGATCCTGAGTGTTGAAAATGGCGGTATTGCTCGTGTCCCAACAACAGTATTACCGCATGAGACACCTCCTGAAAAGGATTTTTTCCCTTAAAATAAATCACGAAAAATCGTTACCATTTGTTAATAGTCTGCACATTTACTGCCCTAGAAATGCTTTTAAACCTTTGAACTTAAACACTATCATTGACCATCATTACATCCTCATTTAGATATCAAAAATAATGTAAGAAATGGTTTAACTCGCAGGATGAAGCACACTCCAAAAATTAACAGAGCATCAACGAAGAATATTGACCGGCTTCAGCTTCAAATGATGTCTTCGCCTAACCAACAGCCTAGTGATTCTTTGGTAGAAAGTAAGTATTCAGCATACAATGATCAATAGGTTTATCTTTCGAGTTCTCGATTAGAAATTGCGTTTTGAAATTTATAGTAGCCTATTATTCGACATGAGCAGTAAATATTTATGCACCATTTAAGATTGCAATTGTTTAAAGAGCAATTGTTTTAGATTTACCAACAAATGGCACAACTCGCGTTAATCGAAGGCGATCCTATTTACAGAAGCCTGGCCTAATCAGTAGGATTCTATTTATAATTCAATTGTCTATCTATCGATGTTTGGTGTGCTTCAGTGATTCATCTGATTTTAGCTTTGACATCTCAACAAAAGGCAGAGAATAAAACAATGCTCTCTAAGGGCAGCGAATACCTGAAAAATTTGGCAATAGAAAAACCCCAAGTGCTCCCAGAACATCTTGCAACACTCAAAGGGAGGAAATGGCTGAATGATGCGGTAGTGAATTTCTACCTAGAGCTCATCTCACGTCGATCAAGACAGATCCCCGAAATGCCCAAGGTGTATACATTTAACTCCTTCTTCTACGAGAGGCTCTGTAGCGATGGCTATGAGGGTGTCAAGCGATGGGCAAAGGTGGACATATTCAGTCAAGACTTGGTCTTACTTCCAATACATCATGAGAACAGTCATTGGTGTCTTATTGTAAGTTTAGCTACCCACTAAAATGACTATTTCCACTTTGAGAGAAAAATTAGCCAATGCCTCCCGAGCTCAGATTACCACCTTTTACGCTCCAGTTGACTAACATTAATTTAGGAAATAATTGCATTAAAAATCAAGAGACGAAGAGATAGATTATTCATTGAGCTCATAGCATTCCCCTTCTTTCCTAGCACATCTGTTAAAGCGAACAAACATGGAGGAGTTCTACCGAAAATGGGCTTTTGAAAAAGAATTTTATTCGTTTCCATCTTTTCGAGAAGTGACTTTTCATGATAGCACCTAATCAAGTTAATTCGACGCCCTCGGTCAAATTTTCGGGGGTTAATAAAAAGGATTGGTTACCATGGCTCCGCCTTGCATGACTTATTATTTCTATTTTAGTGTATTGATTTCCGCAAGAAAACTATCTCCTATTATGATTCATTGCATGATCGAAATGATGAGTGCCTGCAAAGGATCATGTGAGTATACTACTCTTTACATTTGCATGTTTAATTTATTAAATTAAATTACCCCCCCCCAACTGAATTATCAAATTGCCTTTAAGGGGATATCTCGTTGAAGAAAGTGCAAAAAAACAGAAGATGTCTCAGGAAGATGAATCTTCTTGGCAAATGGTGAATATGGAAGTAAGTTGGCCACCCAGGTTGCTATTTAAGCAGACTGAAGTAAAAGTTCCGATCGACTTCATTTTCCATTTTAGGATAAAATTCCATTGCAAAAAAACACTTGGGACTGTGGTGTTTTCGCAGTTACAACAGCAGAATTCCTTTCTCGAGGTGCCGATCTTATCTTTGATCAGGTAAGTGGTTTTGTTTAATTCTTATTCTACCTACTGAATGTTGTCAATGTTTTCACTTTACCCAGGTCCCTCAGGGTAATTTACAGTTAATTGAAGCCTACAACTTTGCTCCATAAGCCATTCAACCTAAACACTCACCCAATGCACATATTCCTCAAGAAGTAGTATTTCTGAAAACTTAACGCTGTTTCCTTCTTTACAGACTGATATGGTGGAAATTCGACAGCGAATGACGTACGAAATTCTCAAACGTCAGCTTTTAGCTGTCCGAACAGAAAAAAATGGATGCGCAATTTGCTCAACGTAACCCTTTCATACGTGCTGCATGCTGCATTGTTTAATTCAAACATGACTATACTTAATTTTAAAAATTTGTACACAATGACAATCCCCTGGCATGTTTTTTCCCAACTTATTTCCATTGTAAATCTATTTTCGTATCAAAACCTGTTGGAAGATTTAAAAGTCGGTGCTATTTGAGGACTGTGAGTTTTCACGTCCGGCGTCAGTGGCGATTGTTTCAAGCCAGTACTCAAACAACTTGTTAACCTTACAAAGCGAAATGGATTATTGAAGTTATTTATTTATTTATTTCAAATGACAGGCGTTTTGATAGTTATCATTAGGCATTTAGCTAACTTCGGGCTTCACTGAGAGGAGGGGGAACACCAAAGTGACAAATAGGCGAGAGAGGGGGGAGGACAGAATAATGATTCACGGATGTAAAAGAGACAGACAGTCACAAAAAGACAGAGAAAAGGTAAGATGAGTACTATGTTAGGGGTCGAATATAACATAGTGGGGTGATGGTAGTTTAAAATCAGAAGTCAACTTCCAGTTAATAGACCTTTTTTGCCGTATGAGTATACGTTGCTCAGGGTGCTCCACATGGAGGTAAGTCAATCGCACATCCACGAATGGAAGAATATGGTCTTTAAAGTTCACTGTTCTTACGTTTTTATTGCTTGCAAAGCTTCCATGACATCGCGGTCAATGTGCCATAGTTATGGCATTGCTGTTTTCCAATTCACCCTTCACTTCAACCTACAAGCCCACAAAAATTGAGCATATGATGTCGCAATCTGAAAGGCAGCTTCATTTCGAATACAAGCACTAATCTTTAAGCGAGAGTATACTTGGCAAATTGAATAATTACCTATCATTTATAACTACTATGGCCACACTATATTTACTATTCATGTTATTCGACATTAGCTTATTATTGAGTTAATTATAAGGATTTAGATCAAATGGCAGGCGTTTTGATAGTCATCATTAGCTCTCTAGTTGACTTCAGGCTTCACAGGTTGGACGACACATCGAAGTGAAAAAGGTCGAGTTGGGGGGGGGGAGGCAGAAGAGTGTTTCAAAGATGTAAAAGAGACAGAGGTGAGGTGAATACAATTGAAGTATTCGAATTTGACATACAGTGGGGTGATGGTAGTTTGAAGTGGGAAGTCAACTGCTGGTTAATAAGCTGACATACATGAAGGTAGAAAATGGTGAGGTGAGTACTGTAGAAGTAGTCGAATATGACATACAGTGGGGCCATGATAGTTTGAAGTCAGAAGTCAACTGCCAGTTAATAGTCTTTTTTGCCGTATGGGTATACGTTGCCCAGGGTGCACCACGTGGAGGTAAGTCTATCGCACACCCCAACTATAAGATAATTTATTTATTTCAAATGGCAGGCTTTATGATATTCATCATTAGCCCTTAATCTTTGACTTCAGCTTCCCCCAAGAGGAGGGGGGTACATTTATAGCAGTTAATTAATAGCAATTCATTAGCTGTCTTCTTGCTTCCCAGTATCTTTGGCTTTCCGTACTTGTCTTTAGGACTGGACACCGAATCAGGTGGGTCTTCTCCATTTCCTCCTGTAAGTTACATAGAGGGCATGTTGGTTGAGTGTATAATCCTAATCTGTGAAGGTGTTTTGCTAGGCACTCTTGTCCGGTACGTAGTCTAAACTCAGCAACGGCTTCGATTCTTGGCCAGTCGGGTATGTCGGAGAGTGCCACTGTCCACTGTTTCTCCTTTGTTCGAGCTTTGAGTTCGTTGACCCTTGAGGTCTGGAATTCTCTCCTGATTAAGGCCTTCATTGTGTGTAAAGACATTGGGCGGTCCATGGATTGCAAAATCGTTGTCCCCTTCTTAGCAAGTGTGTCAGCAAGCTCATTACCTTTAATGCCACAGTGACCAGGAATCCATTGTAGGACCACTGTTTTGTTTTTCTCTCTCAGAAGCTGATAGAGTTTTCTACATTCCTTTATCTCAGCTGTTTTGGGTGGCTCTCTGTTTCCAATAGAGTCTATTGCTGACTGTGAGTCCGAAAGTATCACTACTTTGGTGAATTTCGTATCCAGGCAACATAATTGGCATAGTGCTATCCTAATAGCCTCTATATCTCCTTCAAAAGCGCAAAAGAGTTCAGAATAGACACCTGCACCAACGTTTGCTTGGCTTTCTATGTATGACCCATCAGTGAAGACTTGGAGCTATTGATCTCCAGGATAGTTGACATTGATTGTCTCAATGGCCAGTGAGCGCATTTGCTCTGGAGGGGTGTTTGATTACCTGAAGAAGTCGAGCAGTTGGATGCAACACACTACTTCAGTGTCTGCTAATGGGTTCATGGGTAGAGGGAGGCTTTTTGGTTTGTCATCGATTTGTAATGCTTTCTTCAGTTCTATGGCCTTCTGTATTAGGCCAGATTGCGTTTTCACGAGATCTTCATTAGAAGCTCGAATATCGCACGATAACTTCTGAGTTATTGTGTTCTGTATTTTGGGCGAATCTTTCCCTTTACTGAGTGGAGCTTAGTGTGGCAATTCCACGAACTTCTGTTTATACGCAAATTGATCGTTGCACTTCTCTATGGCCTTCACTGTTACTTTTACTTAATTGTATTTAGGGCACTTTCCAATCTCCCCTGAGCGTTTTTCTCGGGGTCGGAAAATAAAATAAGATCATCTGCAAAAAGTAAGCACTTGATGCCCGTGACCGTTTGTACCAATTCGGCTATGTCATTGATGAAGGTATTGAAAAGAGTGCAACTTGTGACAGCTCCCTGTGGTTGGCCTGTTCGTAAAAGGTTAGATTTAGACAGAGCATCTCCATATCTGACTTTACATGGTCTTTGTCTAATGAATGCTTTTGTCTAGTTTAGCATGTTATGCTTACTACCAATCTTTACCAATTTCAGAATTAGCTTCTCCTTCCATACTAAGTCATATGGTGATTTGAAGTCGACGAAAACAGCCGTAAGAGTATTTCTTGCACCAAGGGCATCTTTAATGGATACTAAGTCATATGGTGATTTGAAGTCGACGAAAACAGCCGTAAGAGTATTTCTTGCACCAAGGGCATCTTTGATATGTTGTTGTTGGTTAGTTGATCAATGCTGCCTAAAACCTGCATGTTCATTGCTAAGAATATTGTTGGTCTCAAGGAACCAGGTCATAACCACTCTTTCCATAAGTTCAGTGTGCCTCCTGTTAACCATTCTTTCCATAAATTTAGCCAGCACGCTTGTGAGGAAGACAGGCCTATAGTTGTCAAAGTTGCTAGGGTATTTGCCGGACAGGCCTATAGTTGACAAAGTTGTTAGGGTCTTTGCCATTTTTTAGTACTGGTATTACTATGGCAGGTCTTTGCCCTTTTTTATTACTGGTATTACTATGGCAACTTCCAATTTTTAGTACTGGTATTACTATGGCAATTTTCCATTGGTTGGTAAGTACTGGTATTACTATGGCAACTTTCCATTGGTTAGGTACGAGACTGGTCTCCTAGATTTTTTCGTTAGCATGGTTTCCTTGGCTTTTGGCCCCATTCTAATTAGAAATTCAGGATGAATACCAGCTTCACCAGGAGACTTTTTGCACTTTAGCTGTTTTATCGTAGCGCTAAGCTCGCAAGGTCTCAATGGTTCAGTAGTATATTATTTGTTTTAGTCTTGCCATGGGGAATAGTTTTCTTTGCACATCTGATCTTGCCTCGGGGAATAGTTTTTTTTGCACATCTGATCATGATATTCGTAATATCATTGCAAAGTTTGTCAGGATGGTGGTTCTCGTGATAGCAGTGCAAAGTTGGTCAGGATGTTGGCTGAAGTTAAGGGGAATAGTTTTCTTTGCACATCTGATCATAATATTCGGATCGCAAAGTTTGTCAGGATGTTGGTTGAAGTTGAGGGGACTTCAGTTCATTCTCTAAAAGGTTTGTGAATCTAGGCCAGTCAGTCTTGAAGTTCCATCATAGCTTAGTTGGCACTTTCGTTGGCATGCTTTTGCTGCCGATGGTAATACTAGCAATGACGTGGCTATTGGACCATAACCAGGATCGTCAATTAGTGCGGCGTGTATGCTCGCTGATGTCGCTTGAAGCCAAGAGGAAATACGGCGTGTATGCTCACTGATGTCGCTTGAAGCCAGGAGCAAGTCGCGAGTATGCTCACTGATGTCGCTTGAAGCCAAGAGGAAAATGCTCACTGATGTCGCTTCACTAGCAATGACTGGTTTGTGACCAGAACCAGGATCGTCTTTATTTTGCGCCTTTGATATGCTTTTGCTGCCGATGGTAATACTAGCAATGACGTGGCTATTGACCAGCTCATGCTTTTGCAACCGATGGTAATACTAGCAATGACTGGTTTGTGACCAGAAAACCATGCTCACTGATGTCGCTTCACTAGCAATGACTGGTTTGTGACCAGAACCAGGATCGTCGTGCGGCGTGTATGCTCGCTGATGTCGCTTGAAGCCAAGAGGAAATACGGCGTGTATGCTCACTGATGTCGCTTGAAGCCAGGAGCAAGTAGGTGTGTATGCTCGCTGATGTCGCTTGAAGCCAGGAGCAAGTCACTGCTCACTGATGTCGCTTGAAGCCAAGAGTAAATCAGGAGTTGTTCTGGATCCATTGCACTGCAAATAAGTAGCAGGATCCTCATTGCTATAAATAAGTTCCAGAGGGTTGATTAGCATGTCTTCAATTTCCTTTCCAGCTATGTTTGTATCTGTCATGTCTTCGATTTCCTTTCCAGCTATCAAAGTTGCGACTATTCTGGGGTGGATTATAGACTGCATATATCTTGAAACGATTCTGGGGTGGATTATAGACTGCATATACCTTGAAGTGAGTGACATTTCCAAACATTTAATCTGTTTATTTCGCATAGGTCTTACGTCGAGCCCATGTGATGTGAGGCCTTCTTTTACTCCAGTCAGAATCCCCCTTGCAACTTGGCGGTATTTAGGCAGAAGGTACAAAGTGCAACCCTGGGAATTGGTAGTATTTGAGTTTGTCATCTGTAAGCCCTGAAGAGGGCGATTTCTCTTATAGCTTCGTTTCAAGCAAATCATAATAAATTGAAGTCAAATGCCGAG